TCATTTTGCAGATAATGATTCTTTATGGCTTTCCTCTGCTAGACTAGAGAGTCTTTTAGAACCTGCAATTCCCTGCTTTCAGAAGTCTTTATACCTAGTAACAAATCACCACTTGGTTTCCCTTTTGCCATATTAAACAGAAAAAACTCTCTTTGTTTGGTTGCATAAGGTGTTTCCACAGCATGTGAATTGTATGTCAGTTCTCTGTGACCTGTCTGGGTTTTCAGCATCTCTTATGACAGTGGGTACCACAGCTGTGGGAGTGTTAGTTTCTCCACTGCAACGTAAAATAATTTCCCTCATCTTGCACTGCTTCCCTGAAATGCCAGAATATCACAAAGAAGTCTTGTTCTTTTCCCCTCCCTCTGTAAATCCCAGCTCATCAAAAGATAGCTCTTGTGTCTGAAGAGCTCCAGCATCCAGGACCACATCGATGCTTAGGACACTCAGGGATGTTTAAAGAGCCAGGGGTGGCTCTTGGCACACGTGGTGGCTGCACTGCCTGGCCCTGCTCAGCTGGAACAGATCCTGCCTCTGCATTTTTGTTCCATGAAGATATAAAATGACACCCCTTCCTCAGATTTCTGTTAAAATCAGAGCAAGTGCAATTCCTGCTCCCTGTATAAATCATGTGGGAAGCTCACTTAATTCCACCCTGCAGCATTTACATGTTTAATCTCCTTTTCCTGTTTTTTGAGGTTTCTCACCAATGCTCCTGCCTCAGGAGATCCTGCCCAAATGTCGCTGCCGCAGCACAGCCTGACCTTTCCTGCAAGTGCTTGTCTTGCCATTGTCACAGCTCCCAGGTGCTCCCTGCTTGCACTTCAGGGTGAGACGTGCTCACAGGCTCCTGCAGCATGAAGGCAGACTGCTGAGACGAGGTGTTTATTTCAAATGGCATTTTCTGGCTGTGACTTGGATCCTGCTGCAGGATTTCAGTGGATAGAGTCAGCGTGGGGTCCCTCTGAACTCAGTTACATGTAAATCTTACAGATTTCTGTGTGTTAACAAAATCTCTTCTGTGCTGGTCGGTTTTGGAAGCAAATTAAGTGAGGTCAGTAGAGGTCTGAGTTTCTTCTTGCCTGGAAATGGAAGCAGGATTTAGTTCCAGTCAGAAAATCTTTGCTGGAAGAAGTGCCTGGCTGCTTTGTCAGCATCAGTACGAGAGCTGGCCAGGAGTCCTGGGAGGGTTCCTTGGCCATTCAATACCTGTATTGAACTCCCTTGCAGGAAGAGATCAGTTCCAGTAAATCTCTTCTGAGGTCTGTCACTGACTTCTCCTCTCTCCCCTTCCTCCACTCCCTCTGCTACAAACATCCCTTCTGTTCTTCTCTTTAAAGTGTTCCCAGCTTCCTTTGATGTGTCAGAAGGCAGCACGGGGCAAACACCCCTTCCCAGGGCAGTCAGGATAGCTGGGAAACCCAGCAGAGATGAGGAAAATGCTTTGGCTGAAGTGAGCTGTTATTACAATGGAGAAACATGTTTGCATTGAAAGGATAATCACCATTCATCCAGGCAAGTTAAACAATACAGACAGAGGTTTGGTTTTCTCCAATTGTTTCCCAAAGCAAAAATGATTTATGTCTTCTCTCTGAGACTATTGGATGTCTGCTGAGGGGTTCATTAGAGAGACCTTCGCAGCTGCCAAAAGAACCAGCTGGATTATTGAGCCTGCAGCTCATTTTTTCTGTCCTTGTCTGCTTCCTACAATGCAGAAGTAGTTTGCAATCCAGACCTTGTTTGTGGTGTGTGAACCACATGGTGGGGGACTGCTCTGTGCAGTGTCTGTCCCCAGCCCAAACCACTACCTCTAGCTCATCCTGATGGCTTATGATGTTAAGCTCTGGAGCACATGGTATGTTCCCTGTGCTGCCTGTAGATACCACAAGAATCACACAGTCATTTCAGCTCTGGATTTTGGCAGCAGTTGGTTTTGCAGTCCTGTGTCCCCTGCAATGACATCAGCAGTTTATTTGGCCACAGATTGAAACTTGAGATTAATTTTAAGTAACGCCTTCAGTCTGGAATTAACTAGGAGGAGCTTCTTGCCTTGTCCCAGAAAGCTGCTGGTAAAAAGGCATGATCAAGTGCACTGCAGGCTCAAAACTCAGATATGCAGGGATTTATACATGTGTGTATATTAATGCACAAACTCTCTGCAAGTATCCATCCAAATGTAGGCCCAGTTGATCAAAATCTTATAGCCCCTGACCTGTGCTGGGAGCTGTGGTGATCAGGCCTGGCTGAAGATCTGAGCACTGCTGGCATTAATTCCATCAGCCTGTTCTGTAAATTCTTCTTCATCTCCAGCACTGAGTTATTTGCATTATAAAATCTAATTGAAAACCTGCAAATTAGATTTAAGGGAAACTGGAGACTGAAGCACTTTGCTCAGGTGATAATTTCATTTACTGTTAAGACATTGCTTAGACCTAAACGTGAACGTGTTCTCTGTTCCTCCATAATACACACCCCCAGGCATATAACATCTTATTTAATTTGGTTTTAAAAGTGTAATTGTATATATCTGAGCAACAAGGTAGACTAACATCATTGGATCAACTTTGAGAAATAAACTTAATGTGCCAGATTCACTGGGAACACCCAGTGACACTACTGTGTTATAGCACAATATGAAATAGTGTAGAGGCTTCCCAGCTGGCTGCAGGAATCTGTACATTAAAACCTATGACACAATTTGTTGCCTCTTAGCAAAAGACCTACAGGAAATAAAAATCTCTAAAGCAACCCTGCAAGCATCTGAAATGGTATTTACTGACATTACAGTGAGGGGAGCTTGCCATGTGTCAGAGAGTTAGAGGCTGACCCTGTAACCCAGAAGGCTGGTGTCTGATGAGATGCTGTTGCTGGATCCGTGAGGGGACAGATGCTCAGCTGGTGGCCACACCAGGGTCTTCATCAAAGCCTGAGTTACACCAGGTGACACATCTGCCACGTATTTAAGCTGCCACAGCGATCAGGAAGATTTTCAGCTGCAAAATCATGCTGCTCCCAGCCTCAGCAGCCTGCTTGATCCTGCTGCTTTGAATGCACCCCCAAATTGCCTGCCACTGCTTCATCCTTCTACAGCATCAATGTTGTTGGTGTAGATGAGCAGGGATAACACTGACCCGGCTTTTCCATGTCAAGTGTGTCTCCACTGGTTTCAGTCAGGATTTCCAGCCAGCCTGGGGTGCATTAACCACACATTGCAGTTTCTGGTGAAGTGGCTGTGTTTTGGGAAAAGAGACATGTCTTCTCCTGCTATAAATTAATGAGGTTACAGTAATTTCTTGTGATACCAGGGATAGGAATTTGGTCGTGAGTCACACAAGAACATCTGGGCTCTGCTGCCTGGCTGGCAGGGCTGCAGTTCTTGGAGTCTTCTGCAATATGCAAGTTTTAAGAAGATTTCTAACTTGTCCTAGGCTCTGAGCTCATCACGTAGCTCCTTATTTGCCCTGCCTACATGAGCTGATTTTTTTATTTTCCCTAAGAAAAGGAGAGGCAAAAGGATTCATTGTAAAGGATCAGATCGTGCCTTTCTCATTCAACAGAGAATTTTGCATATGAGTAAAAACTTTGTCATTTTCTCATCTAGATTTGCTTGTTCTAAATGAGCCCTTTGGCTTATCATGGCATTTACTGGCACAGAGGGAATTTATAAGCAGAGAGAATCTGAGGGAAGAAGTGTCATGCGCACACATTAGTGCATTATCTGCAGGGCTTTGAGAAACTGCTGGGTTTTAGAGCATGTGGGGGAAAAAAAAAAACACCACACCAGAAAACTGAGAAACTGGGTCATCTGGATTCGTTTGCTGCATCTTTCCAGCTGGGCTTTTGTTGCTGCTCAGGCTGACATATCTGAGCTCACATGGATTGTGCTGCACCAGGATTGTACAGGGTCCTGCGTGCCTGCTCTTGCTGCTTCCTGCACTCATCCTGTTCCTTCTCCTGGGGGTCTGCAGGGCCCAGACCAAAGTCAGGGTTGTGCTGCAGCTGGTTGTGAGCTCTCAGAGCAGCCAGAGGGTCCCTGCTGGGTACTACAGGCAAAGCCACAGGCACACGAGGGGACTGGGTTATCACAGAGAGAAAGCCAGCTGGGGGGTCAGCACTGCCCCACCTCCCTGCACTGTTTTGCCTCTCACTTCTTCTTTTTCAGCTGCTTGTTTGCCCATTCCTTTTTTTCCAGACAGCACAGCACACAACAGCCTCTCCAGTCTAGGCTGCTTTTCTCCCTCTATCCCAAAACCCTCTTGAAAAGTCTTCCAGACAGACCTTTGCTGGGGCAAATGCCACTTTTGCGGCTGCATTTAAGTTCAGTATAATCTCATTTTATGGTGAGTAGTGATCAGAAAGGATAAACTGTGAAGCTGAGATTGTAAGCAATAAGTACATTGCTTATTTGCATAGTGTACTGAACACAACCCTTCTCTGTCTCATCACATGAATATATTTTTGGACTGCTAATTTTCCTATACAAAAATTGTATTCTCTGCTGCGTCAAGGAAGTTTTGTTTTATCCCAAATGCCCAATGAGTTTTCTCTCCTGTAATCTGGATTTTTCAGGGGATGAGACTGCTATGGGTTGTGCACATTTTTGTCTGTCCTTTCTCCCTCCCCAAGAACTTCTGATAAGAGGGATGGGAGTCACTGAGGTTTTAACTTCTTAGGAGCTCCATGCACAGCAAGAGCTTGCAGAGAAGGAGATTCTGTTGGCACCCTGCTTTGAGATGAGAGGGTAGGTCACAGATTCACCACTTATTAAGCTCTTGAGATCCACATAGGAGAGTACTGAGTCCCAGCTGAAGAAGGTTTGGTCAGAACTCACCTTACCCAAACAAAGACATTATTTCTCCTTGCTGAACAATTTGTTGGCTTATTCAAGTGAAAATTACTGATATTCTCCCAGTTGTGGTCTTCTGTAAAAGACACAGATTCTATCTGAGCAACAGATGATATACCAAGCTCAACACATATTTTCTGATCTTTTCTTCTAGGTGGAAAAACTGGCAAAGTACTTGGACCCAAATGATTTGGGAAGAATCAATTTTAAGGACTTCTGTCACGGAGTTTTTGCTATCAAAGGTATGTGCATATTTCTTAAAAATAATCCCCTTCAGTTCCACTAATGTTTCTGTGGTTGCAGAAAATGTAATGATCAAAGACATCCTCTCTTTTGACTGTGGTTATTTGTAGTGACAGTAGAGCAGCTCTGGGAACAGAGCCAGGATATTTTTCCTTTTTTTGTGTCTCATGTATTAATGGTGAGCAGTGCTGGAGTTCCTGCATCCACTGGTGCTTGTGCATTGGTTTACTGTTAATTTTTGTAAAAATAAATGTGTTGTGGTTTCAAGACAAGTACAGCAGAAGAAAGAGTACCTTTGTGGTTGGCAGGCAGTGCCCAGGTCTGATACTTCCAGGTTCTGCTGTTATTTACCTCAGGAAGTTAGAGACCCCTCGGGCTTTAGTTTCTCTTCCAGGAAATGTAAGACTATTATACTCTTCTTAAGGTGTCTATAGTTAATTAATGTTTTCAGAGTACTTGTGGTCATATATTGTGGAATGAAAAGGGTTAATTACAGGTTGGCCATGCAAACCCTGAGGATAGAGACCATGTGGACCAAATCACCACCTTTGCAAGTAGACACAGTCCTGGACAGAAGACACAGACATTGCTGTGCTTTATAGCTTGGCCAAAGGGCAGCAAAGAAACCAGTGAAGAGGCACTTTGGCTGCTGATTAGTTTTCTAACTTCCCATAGCGAAATAATCCACCCTGTCCTCTTCCAGGCACACGGGATGTCCTTTGTAAAGTGCTGGAGTGCTGTCACAGCCCAGAGGCTGCACTTCAGGGACAGGGTGAATGTCACAGTGATCGTGGTGTGATTCTGGGAGAGGCCTCTGGAGAGTCTGCTATGATGAGATTATTATGAAGCCATAACGATGCAAGACCATAACACCACAGCAATTTTAATTAAAGTTTATGGCAGCCAAAGACAGTGTGTAATTACGTAAAATTACAGTGGGAAGCTGCTCTCGTCCATGTTCTTGCAGACACCATCCAAGGTGACACTGATGTGTTTGAAGAGAAGGCAAGAGAAAGCCCAGAAGGAAAGTTAATACCTTAGTGCATAGACACTAAAATCTGTGCTGGAGGTTTTCCTTGAGCAGGAAATGCTGTGGCAAACTGAGTTCTAGGTTAAGGAAGACACAGGCTCTGTAAATCATCTGGTAGTCGTCTGTAATTCACAGTCTAAAGACATGCACAAATGCACAAAATATGATCAGGAAGGGATAGAAGTGACCCAGAACATCTGTTCTGTAATAACTGTGCCCTTGTCCATGGTGGGCAGTTCCCTCAGTGATGGAGTGGGCAGCTGTGTTTCCTTTACTGGGAGGGACAGTGTGTCATATTGGCAGGTACCAGAGAGTGATGGTGCCCTGGGAGTTTTCATCCTTGCTCATCTTGTGGGAACTGATTCCTGTATTCATATCCTAAGGTCTAGTCCTGCAAAGACTGAACCAAACTCTCTGGAGTACCTTGTACTCCAAGTTTATGAATAGCCTAAAGCTCTTACACTGAGCAAATTATCAGTATGGTCCAGATAATTTGTGTGATGGTTATTGGGGTGGGGGGAGTGTGTGTGAACAGATGCAGAGAAACCACCCAGTCCTGCAGCACCACCCAGAGCTCCCTTTGCACATCATTAACGTTTCAACACTCACCCAGTGTCAGTGATAAGTGAGTATCATCACAGCAGCAGCTCTATCTCTTTCTGATAAGACACTGTGCTCCGTGTTTTCACAGCATCTCTTTAGAACAGCTGGTTCTATTGCTCACCTCACAGCATGGAAATTTTATTGGTCTTTGGCTACCAGCCATATTTTCCTTAAAAATGAAATTGCTCATGTTAAAGTTCAGGAAGGGTACGTCAGCCTTTCAGAATGGAAAGCTTCCACTGTTGTTACCTCTCATTTTGCAGTGCAGCCACATCTCAGGGGTAGCATCAGGCTTGTTATCAAACAAAAGCAATTTGTCTTGGCAGCAACAGATTATAAATATGATTCTTTGACATCTCAGCCTATTACAATGGCTTGGGGCAATCAGATTAATAGACCAAAATGAGATGCTACTGTAAATCCAGTGGGTTTTTCAGTAATGGAGTATGAAGCTGTGCTATTCTTAGCACTGGAAGCCAAATATTGAAATTCAAGTTCTGCTATCCTAATGCCTTGCTGTATTTCTTATTTATGAGACTTCAAATTAATTTGTCTCATAGATGCTTTCCTTTATAGTGTGCTGAAGAAATTGTTTGCTGGCCAGAGGTGATACAGTGTCAAGGTTTTTGTGGTAGTTTGGTGCCTTGAATTTATTTAAATTGTGAGGGTTTAGGCATCTAGAACAAAAGATTCAGATCAGAGTTGACCTCTGATGATGTTGGTTTGAGCATTTCATATCCAGGGATGGATCTGAGCAAAAAGCTAAATGTTGGAACCTGAAAAAATCCCAAAGATCAGAGTGTTTAATGCCTGCTCTGTAACTGGTTGGTAGCAGCTCCTCCTGCAAGGAGAAACTCCCAGGCCTGGATCTAAAACCTGCAGCTTGGCCTCTCTCCTCCACAAACCAGAGCATTGTTCACTCTTGCATGGTGCAAACAAAAAGTGTTGTGTTCCTCTGCAAGTGGACATCAAGCCTTGCCCCCTCCTTAGTACTTCAGGGCTGGGTAAACCTCATGACATAGGAGTAGTGCACCTTCATAGCAGCTGATGGGACCATCAGGTGTAAAAGAGAGTTAATTTTCTTCAGCTGCTGAGTAGCAGGAACTATGGGGAAGGATGGGCTGAGAAGTCTCACTTGTGGTAGGGACCCTTGGAAGTGATGGAGAGGACTTTTTCAAGTGGAGGTAAATATGCTGGAGAGGAGAAGTGTGTTGGAGGAGTTCATTCCCACTGTGTCTCTGGGGGTGGAATACTGGACAGGCATGGTGCTTGCTATTTATGGAAAGCTTTGCTTCTTTTTGCTGGTCTTTTGTGGATTAAAGGACTTTGCCTCAGCATCTGTGCTGAGCCCCTGCTGTCTAGGCTGCTTTCCCCGAGCAATTAGGCTCTGCCAGAGCCAGGGACAGACTTGCCATCAAATTTAAAGCTTTGCAGCAATTTCATTGGAATGCCAGAATATGAAGGGTTTACTCCTGCTGAAGCTGCCCTCTTTATCTGCTCACTGCAGGGCTTTATTTCTAATAACTGTGTCTGTCTGGAGAGCAATTGCCATGAAATAACACCTGTAACCTCTTACCAGTGTGTGTCAAATCCAGGATGGCCTAAGGAGTGGGTCTGCTCACAGACACCAGAGCAGCCAGAACATCACTCAGAGGCTGAGTTCCCATTAATTCCAGCAGGGTCAGCATGGGATCCATTCCTGTTTGCTCAGCAGAGCCAATGGCTGGTTTTGCTGTGCTGAATTTATTGTCCTGATCCAGTAAATATTTTCTGCCACTTGTAATACTTAAAGCCTTGAGTGGAGCTGTTAATTCTAAAGTGCTGTGTGGGCTGTTGGGTCTGCACTCAAACGTTTGCAGGACCAGGCTCTTGCTATGATTTCTGTTGTCTTTCCAATAGTCTCTTTGCTTTGATATTCAGCTTAAAAACACCCAGACCTTGACAAATAAAGGGGGAGCTCCCCCTGCTGCCCTTGGTGTTGCAGCTCACAGAGATGAGAGGGTATGGAACAAGCACAAACTAAACCAGAATTAAAATTTAAAGGTAGATGTATTGTGACTCTATAGTTTATTTTAACCATGAAAACAGCACTGACTGTGTAGCAATTGGGGGGTCGTGGTTTTTGTAACAGGAGAGACTGAGCCATGGTAGCACAGAGCACTTCTGCAATAATGAGTTGTGCTTTAGCACAATCTCTGGTTTTTCAGATGAAACCGTACAGCCTGTTTTTCTCCTGGAGCAAGAGAGTCTTTCCTTCATCTTGTAGAAGTTTTAATGGCATTTAAGTTTTGCTCTGTCACGGTATTTGAAAATGGAGAGTTGTAGGAGCTCCTTCATATTCATGAACGGGGGGAAGAAGCACAGCTGTGAATTTATACACTTCCCCACCTGCAGCAATAGCAACCCTTGAATCTTCAAAATAGTAACACAGACCATTATGTGCCTGCAAAAATCCATCTCTGTGCCTCCCTAGATCCTTAGGCAGCTAATTACTGCAGCTGGCTGGAAAGCTTCTAGAAGCAGGCTTTGTGTGAGCAGATAAAAAGTAGATGTTTCTCTGTGAGTTCCTAGCAATTTTGATGAAAATTCCGAGGATACCGATTTGCCCAAAGTTTTAAAGAACTGTTCCAGAAGGGATGTTGGCTGTTCTGGCAGCTCAGACTGTCACAGGTTATTTGGACTGTAAAAGAAAATAGTAAATATGAAATTTGATGGGTTTTTTTCAAAACAAAGTTTTCCAGAGTATTTCTGCCCTTCTGTTTCATTGGAGATTTTTTTTTTTAAATATGCTTTTATAGTTTCCTTGAGATGCTCCAAACAAACATATTTCTCACAAAACCACTGCCAAGTTCTGACCATCTTTTTCAACTAAAATGAAAATGTAATTTGCAGTCCCATAGCTGAGAAAAGTATTGTACCAGCTTTACCCTGAAGATCCAGCATGGAGTAAGAGATGGATGTGTTGCAATTATATAAAAGGGAGTTTATTTGCCAGACAGAAGTATTTGTATTATGGACAGGGCAGCTGCACTGGGAATTTCAGTAAAGCACTGCAGAAACCCCCAGAGTCCTGATGAACCCATTTAGGCTCGTGCTGTAGATCTCAGACTTCACAGTAGGCCATCACTGGAGATGATCTGATGGTTCTATCCATTTTATTAAGAATAACTTACTGACAGGAGAGGTGCTTGGGGTGGCTCCAGGGAGGAGGACTGCCAGCAGATGTGAAGAGCTGAGCTCTCCCGTTGTAAATTAAGCCATAGCTGTTCAATGAACTGAAGTTGGTTACTCCTAAAAGTACTTGAGAGTTTTAAACTAAATTTTAGTAAGTACAGCCTGAAACCATAAATGAGTCTAATACACCGTTAAAGATCCAAGGGTAGATAAGGTAAAAAGCCATTGCTGTTAGGAAAAATGCCAGAAACCAACTACATTCAATTAGGTAACCAATTTGATTTCCTATAGTATTAAAATTGCCTAATTGCCTGTGAAAATTGCTTGATGTAGTATGGGTTAAATCTCCTTCTTGGAGCATTTGCAGGAAACAGCTTTGCTAAAATCAAGTTTATTTGTGGCCAGAATGTCTGTTTGCAAATTGACTGTTTGCTAGGCTGTGAAAACCATTTTTTTTAAAATAACAGCGAATGTAAATTTGAAAAATTATCTCATGAGATAATCATGTCTAGCAACCTGAGTGAACTGACAAAGTTAAAGGTTCATGCCTTCCCCTTCAGTGACTTGTAAAATGCTTTCATCATCTTTACTTAGGGCTAAAGATGACCCTGTTCTGGCTAAATGAATTGTGTTTGTTTGTGCATTTGTGGTATTAGGATAAATAGGGTTTAGCTCAGATAATTTTGACAGACCAAATGCTGCCCAAAAATGTTTGGGGGGGAATTTTCCCAAACATAGCAAAAGAGAGAGAACATCAAGCACATGAATATCTGTAGACACCCAAATGAACTGTCTCTAATCAGCCATGTAAGTGGCTTTCAGTTCTGCCTTTTCCTGGGAAATGAAGTTATAGAAATAATGGGGCATCTCAGTGCAGGATTCCTTTCCTCCTTTGCAGTGGGTTATTTTTGGACAGATTCTAGCCTTGGGTGCCCAGTGCTGCACAGCTTGACATACCCACCGTGGCAGCTCTGCAGCCTCAGCACCACGGCTCTGCTCGGGAGTGGCTCTGGTAGCAGAGAGCACTCCGTGTTCCAGACCAGGCTGCTCCCTCTACAAATCTCTGTCCAGTTTTTGTCCGTATTTCCACACTGGGATTTGTCAGAGTAAACCTGGATTCATTGTTGTTTTCTGTCTGGACTGTGACACACTAATTTAGCTCCCTGGCATTTCCCAGTAAGCCAAAATGTATTCTGGTGGTAAGAATATGCACAGTATTTGAGGCACTCCAGTGTTCCCTCTTTGTGTGATGCCCCTTTTGTAAACCTCTCAGAGTACCTGGAAAATTCAAATTGTATTTAGGTTAGGGAAGCAAAAGGTGAGGTGTATTGGCATTGTTGCAGAAAAACACAGAATAAGAAAGCTGATATATTGTCCAACTGTGCCCAAACCCACCTCCTTGGTGATAAGGAGTGGCCCAAGGAAAACACCAGTACCACAGTCCTGCAGAGGGAAGAGATTCCTATTTGTGTTTTCACAGGGAAGAAGAGCAACAGAGAAATTATTCTTTAAAGTCAGTTCTTAACAGGAGTAAAACCAGTGCACAGCCCTAAGATTCTTGAAGCCAGTGGCCATTTTTCCATTGATCTGATGGATGTTGGGACAGGTTCAGATGTCTGCAGGGTAGCAATGATGTGGTTTAGTAATCTCAGGGGAAAATGGCCTCAGTGTTTTCTTTTCTTCTTCCCTTTTTTATGGAGTATAATAACATGTAGACCTTCCCTGGAGGATGAGGAGATCCAAGCTGTCATGCCAGCTTCCATGCCAAGCAGTGCCCAGGGGACACTGCCTGCTGCACACTGAGGCATCTCCCCACCAAAAAGTCACCTTTGCAGGAGGAGATAGTCTCAGATGAACTTACATCCTGAGTCTGTCAGTGCCAAGAGAAACTTGGCCTGAGCAAGATTTGGCTTCTTTGGCCATTTTCAGCTGTGCAGCAAGGTAAACAAATTGGATTAAATACCTGTTGATGTTCTGGAAATGGGTCAAAGGCTTGATCATTATTGTGGTTCTGGATCAGGCTGTAAAAGCCTGTGCCAGGAGCTCTTGTGAAGAAGTGGTGAGGGCTTCCTCTGAGCTGGTTGGGTATAAAGGAGGCAATGCTTTTCTCCCCTGAATAAATGACAGGCTTGAATTTAAATGGCCAAGGGCTATCATGAAGTGATCCACCCTGATGGACAAGGAAAATGAAAGAATGTGATCAGGAGTAATGTTAGGTAAGAACTGAACAGGAAAGAGGGGACACAGGGGACCTTGCAGCTAAACTCTAGATTTGGGACCCTGGAGGTCTGGGATCTGTTTGTGACTGTCTCTAACAGACCAGTCTGGCTGGCCTTTTGAAAGGAGGCACAGGAGAAACATCTCACACCCCTTGTTTTGGGTAGTTAAATCCTTCTTTGAAGACCCACAGCCTTCATGACTTTTCTCCACCCAAAACCAAAAAGGTTGGGAAGGTGCTCACCTAACAGGCTCAAATGAAGATTGACTGCTTAGAGCTCTTTAACTAGAAGCACTGTTGTGAGCACAACTGCATGAGGAAAATAAAGCTTGGAATTATGGCTGAAGATACTGTTGTTGAGAAATTTTAGAACAGTGTAAACATATTTCCTTCATTACACTAATCTACACCCATTACTGTGCAGCACTTGGCATTTATTTTCTTTTTTTTGCTGGGGGTAGCTCACTTTAACGAGTAGCTGCTCCATATCATGCAGAGACCTTTTAGCAAAGCAGTTCATACATGTAATGACTCTCACAGTGGGTGCTGGCACAAGGCATTTTGATGAGTAATAAGCTTTGGTTATTAATGTCAAAAGGTACAAACCGTAAATTGAATTCTCCTCTGTGAGAGGACTAGAGAATAACCTCAGCCAGGCACAGGCTGAACACTTAATGCTAAAGCCAAGGGAAAGAAGGGTCGTGGCTGGGTGGGAAATGGAAGAGTCACAGCCAGGGCAGGTTATGTAGAAAGATGCCCTCTCTAGGCAAACCAGGTTAACATCTGGTGCCTGTCAGCCAGGAGGTTGTTAGTCCCAGATGAGCTCCTCTTTGGGAAGTGACCCTGACACACCATTTTTGTCCATGAACTTCTCCAGCAAAGTGTGCATTTAACAGCTTCATTTTTTTCTCTGTTCAGTACCTTGGCAGAATCTCACCTTGCTGCAGAAGCTGGAAAAGGGAAAAAGTCCTTCTGCCTCTTGTCCAAGTGTCACTCCTGAGATCTCAGTGGTGGCTTCGTTCACCAGGTGCTGCCTCCAACGTATGCCTGTGTGTGGGAGACAGGGACAACATAGTGGTCCCCCATTTTAGGCTTCCTGCATCTCTGCTCACCTTTTCTGGCTTTTCAAGTGCTTCTTTCCTTTGTAAAGGACTCTTCTCCTTAACCACAACATATCTTCATCCCTACAGATGTTACTGCTGTATTTAAAACCAAGAGAGAAGATCAGCTAACAGTATAAACCTGTGCAGTTCACACTTTCTTACACTACCCTGTTTCCTCTGGCTCACCTGCCTCCTGAGAGGGTATTGGTGTGTAACGTCCCAGCCAAATGTATTGCATTGGTGATGGGATGGAAGGGAGGGATAACTGCTGGATAATTGCAGCTTCCAAGTAGAGTAGTGTACAACACATGCTGAGAAGGTTTCACACAGTCTGAAATAACCTGGCCTGACATTCCTGCCTTGTGCTGCTCACCATGCCAAGTGCAGCCACTGGTAATTAATGGGGAACGAGGCGTTTGGTGATTTCAGTGTTTCTATATTTGTCTCTGGATGGCAGATGAGGGAAGGACTGAGGGAAACACAGACATTGATTTTTCCAGCTCTTAATGTGGTTGTTAACAAAAGCAAACACGGAAGCTGGAAATCTCCAGTTGCAGGGCATAGATACTTGCTTGCCAAACACTAAACTCTTGGTGACAGAGCTTTTTGTGAAGGGGAATTTGTGACACTTAGGTATTGCCCCATTGTCATTTTGACTAGAGAAAATTAGAAGCAGCTGCACTGACACTAATGTGCAACAGTCACTAGCTCATGCCAAGCCTGCAAATCCAGGGTTTGACTTCAGAGTTTGGGTTGGTCAGGGCTGGGTTTCTGTTCTGCAGGATGGTTCACCAAGCCAAGCAATGTCCAGCTCCCAGTTTCATTGCTGTGTAGTGTATCTGTGCTGAGAGTTGGCATTAATGGAATTGCACTTCTCTAAGTGCTACACACTGAGTATGTGCTGGACAGAACTCTAAAGGCAGAGCTTTGTTACAGCTGTTTAAATATTTTCCAGAGCTGGCTTCCAAGTGCATACAGACTGGCTACAAACCTGTGTTTCTTCCTCCGTTGTCCGTGCAATGTCTGGGAAGATGAACTCTCAGCCTTGACCATTTGCTCTCATTTCTCTTTGCCAGGCTGTGAAGACTTACTGAAAGATGTCCTGTCTCCTGAAAACTCTGAGCCTCAACACTATGAGCCACAGTATGTTGATTACTATTACCAGGTAAGAGAAGCACTAATTCTGTCTCATGTTAGTGGGCTGAGGAAGCCTCTGGAGTGATGTGTAGTTGTGTCCTTGTAAATGCTGTTTTACTTGGCCTATTAACTCTTCCTTCCCAGATTCACGACTGTTAGCAAACCATCCATTCTGATTTATCTGCATTTAACACGGGGTAGCTGTCAGCTGGTGTGAGAGTATTTAGCATTTGGATTGTGATACTCCTGCAGGCCTCTTGGCTGTGAAGGCAGATACCAGTACCAGCTCGCTGGCACCTCACAAGTGCAAAACACTGATCTGTGTCTAATTAGATCAGTCAAACTTTGTAGGTGAACAAGGCCTCAGGGACCTTCTGCAGATAATGAACAGGGACTCGAGCTGTTGGGAGGCACAAACAATACACCTTTGGAAATTTTGGTAGTATTTTGGCAGGTGGGTGTAGCATATTCTCAAACCATTAAATGTCTTCATTGCTATCCTTAGTTTAACAGTGTCTGTGCAGTCTAACAAGAAAAGCAGTCTGAAATTTTCCTTTAAGCATCTCTTTGTCTCTCCTTCACTTTACTTTGGTTTTAATCACCTCCACCCATGTATATCCTGAAGATTTAAAGTGCAGTTAGCATTGTATATTCAGACAAGGATTGTGTGTCAGTGGTGTAATGAGACTACAATTGATCCTGAAGTCAGTAGGGAAAGCATTTTACCTTCACAGGTGGTGAAGTGTGAGAACAATACTCATGTGTTGTGGAAGGACATGTGATGAGCATGCTGGTGTTTCACCACTCCATGGTGTTATACAGAATGGTTTCCAGTGTTCATACAAAAAGCACAGAGACATTTCCTTCCCCTCAGCGTCCATCACCACTCTCTGCTTGTTTGTAAACCCCTGGTTCTTTGTAACTGATGACATAGATACCCACTATGCTGTTGCTTGGTTACCTTAATAGATACCATAAACCAAACTCCCTGTTCTGCAGTAGCTGATAGAGGCTATAAAATTAAACTGGGCTCTCTGCACACTCCTGATGTTCCCCTGTTGCTGTGTAGACATTGCAGGCTGGATCTGACACTCGTTGAAGGCTGCTGATATGGGCACTGAGTCTTTATTCCTCAGGGATTTCACATCTGCTGTCACCCAAAGATGCACTGGGGAGAGACAGTTCTTGAAGACAAATTTGAGATTGGCTGTAAACTGTACCTCTCCTGCCAGCTGTCCTCCAGGAGAGCCTGAGGGTGGGAATTGAGGTTGTTAATCCTGATAGCAGCTGATGAGTTTGATGAGTGCTGGATATTTGATTCTAGGAGAGGCAGTGGGCAGAGGGTGACCCTCCCTGGTCAGAAAGAGCTGCTGTGGCAGTGCTGTGGTGGAAGCCTTGCTGATCCCTCCTCCTGATGTCCACCAGCCCCCTGTATGGTCCCTGCAGTGAGGGACACCACTGCAGTGGAGTCAATGCGGTGTTTGCCCACTTTAATTTGGGAAAAGCAGGATTTGTGCAGCCTGGGAGCGGAACCAGGTCCTTCCCCACCTTCCCACAGGGTGATCTGTCACGGAGGGGAGAGGACAGGGAACGGTGCACGTTGTTGTACAGCCCGTGTTTATCCCACAGCTCTGCACCGCCGCCCGCCAGAGGGGCTCGGTCCGTCTCCCATCTCCAGGTCCTCCAGGTGCAGTTTGGAAAATGTTCGCTAGATGTCAGCTAAAGACTGGGAAGAGGCTGTGAACAGGCTCGGTGCGTGCCTTTGAGGGTCCTCTGCTATGGCAGGAGGTTGGAGTGCTCAGTCTGATGAAACAGGAGAATCGAGGGGCAGGTGGATTTGAGATTATCACCATTCCTGGCAGTTGTTCCCCCTTCTGAAGGAAACACGGACCGAAAATATACGAGCTGCCCTTGCACCTCCCAGCCCTTATTGAGTGTGAATCCCTGGTGCTGTAGTCAAATTTATGGACAGCTCCCAATGGCACAAATGGTAGTTGCCTGTCTAATCTGATTTTCATCCCATTATACCCTTTGCATGTCTGTCTGATTCTCAGGTGAGGTCAAATTCTCAGGCAGCAGAAGGATACAACTGCTGCGATGGCACAAATAGATACTTTAAAAGGGAATGCATCCCTTTTTTATTCCTCTCAGGGGGTTGTGCTTACACAAAGGCAGGTACTGAGCTGGTTCATTGTTATGCTGTCTCTGTATTCACAGCGTGATTTGTGAGGAAGAAGGGGAGATTTATCCTTGTCCTGTATTACTCCCTCTGTCCCCTGCTTTCATTTTTCCTTCCCCTCCCAAATGCCCACTCCCTCTGTTGTAGCTTTCTGAAGCCCACAGGCAGCAAACTGAAGAGGTGAAGGTAATTCCAAGAAGTGGGATGAGGTGACAGGAGCCACAGTAAGGGGCTGCACCGATCCAGCTGTTTATATATGTATAGTCAAATGGGGAAGAAGAAACTGCCAAGTCTCCAGCCTTATTGCAACCAACTGGGTGCAATTTATTTAAATTGATATATAAAATCCCCTGATACCAGGAACTTGGGGCATTTCATTTGACTTTTTCGAAATTATCTGCTTTTACTGTTTGGGGTTTTTTCAGTGTAAATGAGAGCAAAAGCTGCCAAACTTTTAATGTCTGAAAACTTGGTCTAAAAAAGGAGAAAAAAAATTACTATTGTATCTGCACTTCAAAATGCAAAGACCATTCCATGGAAGGTTCCTAATGGTCTATGTTGAGAGGCTGTGTGAGTGACATCTCAGGTAAATGGAGAGCTCTTCCTTTGAGCTTAGGTCTCTTAGGGTGTGATATGCAAATGCAAAGAGCAGCACTTAGTTACTACATGACTACATTCAGTGAGACCTCTCCCACTGATTTCCATCAGCATTGATTCAGCCTACAAAGAGTGTGTTTTCCCTTTGGACCAGAGAAAGCTGGTCCACAGGAATTTAGGAGGCTGGGGTTGCAGTTAGGAGCCAGCAGTTGTAGAGCCCCTCAGCTACAGGACCTACAAATAAACCTGCCCTGTCTGCCTGTGAATTCAGAGTCTGTTGATTTGGTTAAGGTCTGGACTGTGCTCCATTTGAGGCACTGCTTCAGTTAAGTGTTGTTTATTAGTATAATTTCTGTCTCTCACAGCCTTTAGAGAGATAATAGAAATGCTCTGAATTTACCAGAAGCCAATTTATCACTCCTGAATTCCTTTCACAGTGTTTGCTGCTACAGCCCCAACTCTTGTTTTGGCTTCAGTTTGAAGGGAGACAAAAGTCTCCCTAGTCCAGTTTGCTTTGTGGCAAACATCTGGTAGCACTTCAGAGCCCTTGGATAGCCTTTTGGAGATGGTAACCCACACGAAGTCCAGAGCTGAAGTATGTGTGTGAAAGCCCAGACCCAGATTCAGCCAGCTCAAACAAAGCAGGGTGCCTGTGTCTAGGATTTCCAAATGGCTGGCTCCAGGCCTTCCCGGGCACCTGGCCAGCTGGGAGCACTAGCCACAGGACTCAGGGAATGAGGCTGGCTGCAGCTGCATCTCCCTGGCCAAGGTTTGCATGGCAGAGAAGCAGAGACCTGGGTCTAGGTGCTCATCTGTCTGAGCATCCCTTAGGGAAAAGGGAGTCAGCAACAGGAGCTCCTTGTTCAGCTCTTCACCTGATGTATCTTGTCTGTTCAGACTTAAAGGGAGCCTGACTCTAGAGCATCCCAAAGATGACAAAAGAGAGAATTAAGTGACAGGTCTTGGACCCTCTCACCGCCAGCTAGCAGGGTCCCTACCTGAGCAGCTGCTTGTGAAGGGACAGACCATATATTTTTACTTGTGAGTAGTTGCCTTTTCATCTGAAATCAATGCCCAAAAGCCACACATGCAAATCTAGTGGAAGAGCATGTTGTGAGGTACAATAACGGCAGGGTCCTTGTTTTAAACAAAGCTGTTTGTTCCTTTTTCATTGTTGCTGTATTGAGTTGCCACTTACCTTTTTTTTTTTTCCTACTCTCACCTGTAAATAAGAGAGTGAATCTGCCTCTTAACAAAGTAAAGGACAATTGCTGCATGTCAAAGAATGAGCTGCCTTTTCAGTCCTGTGTGTGTGTTCTCCTCCCCGCCAAGTGATTAATTACACTGTATGAGCAGCAGAAAAATTGTTGAAACATGACAAATGAGTTGTGTTTGCCTCTGGGATGGAGCTGGGGCTGCTAGCTGATCTGCTGCTTTGGAAATATTTCCAGTAGCAATTAGGAGGCCCCCACCAGCTTCTGAAAAAAGTTTTCCTTCCTCGCTGGCTGCACGAGGATCTCTGCTAGTACCTGTGTCAGAGCAGAGCTGGGGGAGCCCTTCTGCACTGGGAAAAGACTGATCTAAATGGGTTTTTCATTAGGCTGTGGAAAGAGGTGGGAGTCTGAGGCACAGCTGCACTGAGGAGAGGTTTGCACAGGTCTTCCTTGGCAGTCCGGGATTGCAGTTGTTATCTCTGATCGTACCATCTCTTGCTATTTATTGAAAAGCAAAGTACAGGAAAGCATTGACTGTTTTATTGAACTCAGACCTGCTGCTCTCTTCTTGTTTATCTCTTAAATAAAGCTGTCCCTTTTCTTCCCCACTGAGGAGGACATCCCTTTCGCCAGGCACACCAGCAGCTGCAGCAGTGCCGGTTTGCTGGTGAACAAACCCCTCTGGGTCACTTCAGTAGAGAGGAGCCAGCAAAGACATCAAATCTTACCTGAGCCCAAGAAAACCTGACTTATCACTTCTGGTTTCCCAGCAGCCTGTTCTACCCAGTTTGGGGTGGTGTCCACCATAGTACTAACCTGACACCACAAGCTAATGCAGCTCTTCAGTACAGGTAGCACCACTCATCCTTCAGAGCTGCTGATGTATTTTTATCTTTGGTGCAGGCTTGGCAGTGCTGAGCCCCTGACAAAGTGTCTTCCCACACAGTTTGCTCTGGGTCTGTGCACTCTTGCTGTACTGAGCCCACTCGTTCTTCTGGAAGCTGAGGCAAAGTTTGAGTGAAGAGTATCAGATCTAGT